GTTCACTTTTATATGTATTCGCATAAAACATTCAGCATAATATAATAAATATTGCATGTAGTTGAGTGTAACATTGAAAATTTTCACCCCAAGAAAACCATTGTCAACCGAGGCTGCGCCTCGGTTGACAATGGTTTTCTTGGGGTGAAAATTTTCAATGTTACACTCAACTTCATGCAATATTTATATAATTTAACCCTCGATATCCTGATTCCTTGGGAATCTTGAAGTTCTTTCTCAGTAATATAAAGTTTGAAATTGTATTATTTAAATACTGCATGTAGTTGAGTGTAACCATGGTAACATTGAAAATTTTCAGCCTTTGAAAACCATTGTCAACTGATGCACAGCTGAGGTTGACAATGGTTTTCTTGGGGTGAAAATTTTCAATGTTACCCTCAACTGCAACTACATGAAGTATTTTTTATATCATACTGAATGTTTTATACAAATACACATTACAGTGAGTCGCCCGCGTGGCGCAGTGGTTAGAGCGTCTGCTCTAGAGTAGCGAAGTAAGGAGTTGATCCTTACGTCGCGGGTTCGAATCCCACTGTGGGACGTGGAGACCGGTCCTTTGGATGAGACTGTATAAACCGAGGTCCCATGTCACAGTAGGTGCTGGCACGAAAAAGATCCCTCACCGCTCAATGGCCGTAAGTGCCGAGTATAGGACAAAATTTGCAGCTCTCCACCGGCAAGTGGTGGCGTCTCCATATGAGTGAAAAATTCTCGAGAGGGATGTTAAACAACATACAAACAAACAAACACATTACAGTGAACCTTGCGCGCATAAATTCTGCAGAGTCAATATTTTTTTGAAATATCACCTGTAGTCAAGTAATGTCGACTGTTGTTATCCTGGAGGGTGTGGCTTCATTATTCAGCGGGTAATAGTGTTTTTAACAAATGTTTCTTGACGAATCAGATTCAGCTAATTTAAATGAAAGTATAATATTAAAAATTATGACTTAGTCGGCCTTTAATCTATCTAGGAGTACTACAATAAGTAAATGTTTGGGTTTTTTAATACATATAATACAATACAGAACAATGTGTTTGGATATAGCAAAGAGACAATCTCATTTATGCAATATGTTGTAAAAATGACAATTTTAAAAAAAATATTTTGGAGTGGGGGGGGGGGGTTCCTGAATCTGCCACTGTTAATGTACCTGAAAGTGGTCAATAAATCACAACTTACCTAGGGAAGTCATTGATTACTAGTCTGATAATTAGTATGGGTTAGGAATTAACAAGACATATAGTATAGATTGAAATAGTAATACCTGCTTAACTGGGTTAGCAAAATAACAATGAAACTCCAAAAATTTTAAATACAGTCAGACCTTGATATCTGAGGATTCAAGATATCCAGGGCAAAATACCCAAAGAATAAGGGTTTGGGACTTCAAAATCCCTTCAACATATCCATGATATTCAATATATCAGTGTCATGGATACTGAAGTTCAATTTAAGTAATTACTGCATGAAAACTTGATATGTTTATATACATATACACTATGCATATATGCATATGCACTATATGTTTGCACTATATATATACACAAACTAATTCTCATTAATTAGAAAACAGCAATATGTTGCTATACAGATATCATGATTTATCGAGTTTGGTGATGCATTGAATTCGCACATTTTAGGGTAAATACAATGTACAGAGCTACAGTTTATTAGACTTTTTAATAAGATTTCTTGTCGCCTGCATGACGCAGTGGTTAGGGTGTCTGCTCTAGAGTCGCAGAGTAAGGAGTTGATCCTTACGTCGCAGGTTCGAATCCCACCGCGGGTCGTGGAGACTGGTCCTTCGGATGAGACTGTATAAACCGAGGTCCCTTGTCACAGTAAGTGCTGGCTCGAAAAATATCCCTCACTGGCCCTGAGTGCCGAGTATAGGTCAACATTTGTAGCCTTACACCAGCAAGTGGTAGCATCTCTATATGAATGAAAAAATCTCAACAGGGACATTAAACAACAAACAATCAATCGATCAACAAGATTTATTAACTGGAATGAAATCTATAAGACATCAGGCCTAAGGGAGAAAACATGCTTGTATACATGTACCATTACTTGCTAATAAAAAATAGGGTTGATAGGTAAAATTTTGTTTTTATTTTGTTTAAATTTTTTTTATAAAGGCATAAACATTGCAATTCATTTTTTTAATAACAATTTGAAATTTTTGCAGAAAGATTGGAAATGACAAGGGTTAAAAACATGAAGAATGCTGAAAAAAAGATTTTAGGGAGTGCCAACTCACTTCGACATACATGTATCCCTGGTATTTGAGATATCAGTATTCTAGATACATTATGTAACAACCTTCATCAAAAGAAATTAAAATCTATAACAGGACATGAATGCCTTACCCAGGATAAATTTTGATGAAACAAGGAAAAAAGTATCAGGCTTCTATGGTTCAAAATCAGAGTAAAGGAGGAATGATGAGGTCAAGGTCAAAGGAAACTTTATAAAGGTTTGAAATATTATGACACAGTTGAATAACTCTCACCAATTTTGTGTTATTGTATGTTTGATAGAAATATTATGAATACTTTCTTTAAAAAAAAAGAGATGCAACTAAAATAAATAGTAAGATTAATGATTAACAAAAGGAACAGGTCATAATTTGGACACAGTTGAAATGTTATCACCAATATGTGTCAGTGCAAGTGCATAGATAAAAATAAATTAAAAGATTTTTATAAGACTAAGCTACAAAATAAGGAATAGCGAGGTCAAGGTCAAAGGGAAGATCAAGATAAAAAAAATTGACATAGTTTATCAGTTCTCAGATATGTGTATAGATAAAAATATCTTGAATAATTTCTTTGAAATTGAGCTAAATGCAGATTGAAATAGTTGCCAGGGTCAATATCATAGGGGTCACAATAAAAAATTCAGGACACATTTGAATACTTCTTACCAACATGTGATAGTACACTGTATGTGTATTTGGATTAAAAAAATTTTGAACAGAAAAAATGGACACATTTGAATAGTTCTCACAATATATCATTGTGTGAATTTAGATAAAGATATCTTGAATACTAAGTATTTCCTTTGAAAATCAGCTGAATGTTAAATTCAAGTGTAGTAAAGTCAATATAATAGGGAAAGTCAGACTTTCAGAGGATTGTTGGAAAAATGCATTAAATAATAATTATTTCTGATTTAATTGTAATATTATTTTTTTTAGTTTTGAGGGTAGGGGAATCATATTCAACATTTTCTATTATATTGTCAATTTCTATCAGAGCCTTCCTATTTGTGTATTTTTTTATGCACTGTACAGCAAATACCTGACCATCCTTAGATTTATTTACAACTTTTATGAGTCTATATAAGCAGGCAACATGTTTTTTCTTGGAACACTTTAGATAAACATACGTATGTACAAGTAAATATTTTTTGGAAAGAATTTTCAGCATAATGTCATGAACCACAGAAAGCATACAAAATAATGCAACATCCGCTTAATAAGTTTATTTGGCTTCGTATTCTTAATTACTAGGATAATTTGAATTGCAATATCAATTACATTCAAGTTTCCACAAATTTATAGTCCATGAATAAGAGACTAGGCAATATTATTCACCAGAGTGGGACCAGTGCATAAACATAGATTTATAAAGTCTTAAATAAATTGGTCCCATACCTTCCATGCAGTGAAAGAATACATTTCCCGTCCTCATTTTGTATGAAAATTAAATCAAAGTAAATTAAAGTTCATAAATACACCTGTACATATATACAATATAATATGACCTTTAAATTTCTCCTTCATCAGCCATGTTGAGGCTGTGGTATAGATGGCTACTACTTGAAGGGTACAGACTCCATTCAGTTGCAAAATATTTGGTGATTTCCTTTTTGAAATGATATATTTGGGAATTTTAAATGTGCATGATTTTGGATATCATGCAACCTGAAAATGTTTGAAAGTTGTATAAAATCTTACTTGACCATGACACTTTTTTATTTCTAAGGAAATATGACATGGATTGTTTTTCTTGTAATTCTAGCAGGGATAAATCCACTGCAATTCAATCAAGGGTGTAAAGAGATTTTCCTCTGGTAAATTGTATTCTATACATCCTCAGAGGCTGAAGCAGCAAGCTAACTTGTAATACAAAATTTGATTGTATAGCAAGCCAGCTGGTGTAATTTAGTATGTACTATGTACAGCTTGAGCCAAAGGTTAAATATTGTGATGTCACAAGGCATAGTTGAAAAGCACTGGGGCCTTCTGCACACATGTATGGAATACAACACAGAGTAAATCCCCTACACCCTTGATTCAGCCTCAAGGTGTATGGAATACAATCCAGGGTAAATCCCTGTACACTCTTGACTAAAAGTATACTATATGCTTCTAACATACTGTCTAAATCTTAAATGTAGCATACTTTCTAAATCTAAATTGATTAATTAATTTCCTGATAATTTGATTGAATTGATTAATTTGACAGTTTTGCACTTAAGGCCAGGTCTAAATTGTCCAAAAACTAGGAGGAACCTGTGATTAGAGGGTTTATTTCATGGTTTTGAATTACTATTCAGGAGTCTTTTCTCATTTCATAATAAAATCAGGGACCTTTACTAGGAGGGGGTTCGGGGGGGGGGGGCAACTCCCCTTTTATAACCAAAATTATTCGTATAAAGATTAAGAAATTTTATTTTGTTGTTGCTAAATATTGCATTTATAATTTGTGTCCAGGCCCTTAATCTTTAGACACCCTTCTGGATCCGCCACTGCCCTACAGTTACTGTGTATGTAGGGTCTTTTGTTGTTAAAATGACTTGTCCTACCCTAAAATGGCCAAAATAAGTACCTTTGCCATCATACTTTGCAACTGTCCCACACTAAAAGTCATAAATATTGCCTGCATATTACAAGATTTTCATTTTTCAGAAATGTGCTGGTTACCGGAAGTTCACAAGAACCAGTTAAGCGAAGGTAACACCATATAACATGCAACATGAACATGAACTGATCACCGAGACTGCATTGCGTATGAAAGACAGTTTTGTAAGTATTTGTAAGCTTTAAAGTATAAAAGTCTTCTCTTGTTACTTTTTGAAGATGGAAATTTAGAAGATGCTTGAAGTTCATCGTATGTAGTACTGTGAACTTTGGAAAGTTGTCACTTAGTTGAGAAAATTCGAACTAGGTCAGCTGTATGTGTCAATTTTTCGGAACGATAATCTTTATAGTGCCCGTTTTGTTCATTTTTTATACATGTACAATGAACACAGTTGGGCCTGCATTACAGTCTATCCTTGTTTGGGATTGGGAAACACAGAAAAGTTACAGTGTCTGTTTAAGGGTTTTTGCTCAACTCGTATGATCGTATCTAGGTCAGATCTCCTACAAGTAAGAGCCTCGGTTAAACGTCCCTACGCTCCTTATATACCTCGGAGCGCCAAGTCAAAAGTATATCGCCGTGAACCTCTAGCATGTTGAGTAGATCAGATCAAACCCAATAGGTCAACTCATATTAATGAAACGACAAGGAGAATTGTTACAAGCTGACTCCCCTATATAAATTGATGACAACTCGTAACTTAACAATATTAACAACTTATTACCCCTTTTGAGGTCAACATGGTGAAATACGGACCCAAGACTTGGTCTACGAGGTGAACTGACCTGACCATACATAGAATGTTCTATCGTTAAAATGATAAATGTCCTACGGACCCTGTTTAATGATAGAATGCATTCCATGTATTGTCTATGTAGCAAAGAAAATACGGGAGATAACTCTAACTTAGTGCATTTACTATGAAAAATCCTGAGAGTTCTGAATGTCAACATGGTGTGTAAATTTGAAACGAGTAAAAAATGTTGGTGAAAAAGTGTTGAATTCTTCCATTATATGGATTAAATTTTTAGATGAAAGGTATTTACAGTCTCAAAAAGGTTTGTTATGATTAATTTGACTGTTATTTTCAATGCAACTTCATTAATTTTCTCCAAAATCATTTCGGAGCGATTCTGCAGTTTTCTGCTATATTACTGGTATAGGGGAGGCATTCTAACTGTAGTGAGGGCCTGTCCCAAGACACAGTTAGATTATTCTAATTAACCTGACCAAGGCCACATAGTGGCCGAGGTCAGGTCTGGTTAGCAAGTCGGTCATGTCAAGGGTCCTTCTTTTCACCATGTGGAACTCATATGGGGTATCAATTGTTTTATTTTACCGATCAGAAAATTATATATTATATACTTGAGTGCATGATATTGCATTACATTACCAATGTTTTTTGAATGGGATCTTGATTCGCTAGTGAAGTTGTTTATGCTGACTTCTGAAGTTTTTGCATAATGATTTACTGATTAAAACAATTTTTGGTTGACAGTAACATGCATTAAATTGTTATGCCCTGTTCACACGGAGAGTTTAATTCACAGTAAATTAATGCGAAGTAAATAATGTGAATTAAAATAATGCAAATTAAATTGTGTTCACACGACAGCTAATGCGAAGTAAACTAATGGGAATTAAAATTTTATTTCTACAGTAAGGCTATTTAGTAAGGCTATTATGACGTCATTTTCAAATCACATCACCTTATGCGCAGCAAACCCATATTACATTCTGTCATAGTGTCTATGCACATTTCAGTGATTAACATAATTTTTCTTTGTTTTCCACTAAAAAATAGCATAAGTATCCATATCTGTCCACAGACATGTGGCATGTGACTTAATTGTGCCATTACGCATGCGTCAAAATTTAATTCGAATTAGCTTCGCTTAGCGTTCATACGGAGCTAATGCGAAGTAATTTAATGTGCAGTTAATTAATTTGAATTAAACTAATTCGCATTAAATTCCCTGTGTGAACGCGGTCCAAATTTAATTCGCAATAACTTATGTTTTATTCGAATTAAACTCTCCGTGTGAACCCCCCAGAAAAGTAATGGCCCCAGATCAATTGGTGAATTTTCATTAGGGCATGCATTGTTCTACAGAATACTGGGTGTTTTATCCTGCTCGATCGGGAATGGGATGGGCTGTATAGGTGCGACATTGGCCCAAATCTTGGAAAAACAAGCCAAAATCTTTGGAGACCTCCAAGTGCATTTTCAGTACATGTGCACTTTAATATGTAGGTTACATGTTATATGTTGACACATTTTTTGAGTTTTAGATATATGAAGTGCAATTAATTAGCACCCAAGAAACTGCCCCAAAGTATCTGTTTTTATTGACCTCATGCATATGTCTACCCCCTCGGCACATGTTTGGCATTGAAAAGAAAAATTATCCCCTGCCACCTTGATAACAGATATGTGGAAATTAATTTTCTGTTTTTAGAACTTCATGGAGATTTGTCATCTATTACAGCAAATATTTAGAATAAAATATATTTAAACCAAAATCATTTTTTAATGCCAACTTTTAGAGATCAAAGAGCGAGCCTAGATAATTAATTAGAATTTATTAGTATGGTATTTCATTGTACATGTAAGGCCATTCCAAGTTTTTTCTATGTTTAGCGTCCTCATGTGCCTTGGTTTTTCGACATCCCTTATCAAAAAAAAAAACAAAAAAACAAACGAACAAAATCAGGAGTCCTGAAATTGTTTATTCTGGTCGAAATCACTGAATTCTGTCAATTTCTCTAAGTATTTGTCTACAATATGCCATATTTGGAATATTTTAAGCATTTAGTACCTTGATTTTGCTGAAGAATAAATATTTCTATGAGAAAAATAGATTAATGGAATCATATCCTTTGAATGACATCATTTTTATGACTATAATGACTTGTGTTTTACTTTTTGGTTTGTGTGTTTTTTGCGAATAGGTAGGGAGGTATTTGAAAGATTGGTGGATGCTAAACATAGAAAAAACTTGGAATGGCCTAAGGTAACATTTTCCATGCACATCAATTTCATAAATCTGTGGTGCAGCCATGCAAAATGACTTGATATTTTGGAGTTAGGAACCACATCAGAGGAAAAGTTTGTTGCTTTGCCAGTGGATGTCAATATGTTGATTGGTGGCTCTGATTTTATTAGGTCACCTGAGTGACTCAGGTGACCTATTGCTACATGTATCTGTTTTCATCCGTTGTCGTGCGGGTGTGCGTCTTGCGTAAACTTTTTACATTTTCAACTTCTTCTCAAGAACCACCAGGCCAATTTCAACCAAACTTGCCACAAAGTATCCTTGGGTAAAGGTAATTCAAGTTTGTTCAAATGAAGGGCCACACCATCTTCCAAGGGGAGATAACTAAGAATTAGTGAAAAATTAATGGCATCTTTTAAAAATCTTCTTCTCAAGAACCACTGGACCAGGTAAGATGAAACTTATGTGGAAACATCCTCAGGTAGTTTAGACTCAAGTTTGTTAATTTAATCATAACCTCCAGGGGTAGGGTGGGGCCACAATGGACGATCAAAGTTTTACATTCTAGGAATACATAGGAAAAATCTTTAAAAATCTTCTTCTCCAGAACCACTGGGCCAAGAAAGATAAAACTTATGTGGAAACATCCTCAGGTAGTGTAGATTCAAGTTTGTTCAAATCATGACCCCTGGGCAGGGGTGTGCAATTACAAAAATTAGTTACTAGCCTGGGCTAGTGGAAGTAACAAAGTTACTAGCTCGAGGTTGACAATCATCACTAGCCCATTAACTACCGAAAACAATACTTGTATAAGTATAACAAAAAGGTAAAAAAAAAAAAAACATTTAAGTTGAAATAAATAAAACAAATAATGGTTTGCGCTATGTTATTGTCAGGTACTTCTCCCTATTTTTATCGAATATAATTGTCACTGAAACGACTGGCGATAGCAACACACAATACATATATGTTGAAAAGATTTAAAGATTATGATTTTACAACAAAGTTAATTCGTACATCAATTCAGTCGATGTAAATATACGTATACTTTCATTTCAGATTTACTAGCCCGACAGGCTAATGCAGTATAGATTTATGATAGCCCAACCTCTAAAATTGGTAGCCCTGGGCGTTGGGCGATGGTAATTGCACACCCCTGCCCGGGGCAGGGCGGGTCACAATGGGAGATCAAAGTTTTACATGGGAATACATTGGAAAAATCTTCTCCAGAACCACTGGGCCAAGAAAGATGAAACTGATGTAGAAACATCTTCAGGTAGTGTAGATTCAAATTTCTTAAAATCATGATCCCAGGGGAGGGTGGGGCCATAATGAACAATGAAATTTTTACATTGGAATACGTAGGAAAAATCTTGAAAAAATTATTTTCTCAAGAACAGCAAAGCCATGATTGGTTATATTTACATGGAAGCATCCTCAGGTAATATAGAGTGGGGCCACAATTTATGATCAAAGATTTACATATGAATACATAGGAAAAATCTTTAACAATCTTCTTCTCAAGAATAGCAAAGCCATGATTTGTCTTATTTATATGGAAGCATCCTTGGGTAATGTAAATTCAAATTTGTTCAAATCATGACCCCCTGGGGTAGGGAGGGGACACAACAGGTGATCAAAGTTTTAGTTAGGAATATATAGGAAAGACCATTTAAAAATTTTCTTCTCAAGAACAACAAAGCCATGATTAGTCATTTTAATACAGAAACATCTTCAGGTGCTGTAGATCACTAAATTTTCGGGACACTTCATTTTCGCGAGATAGTCACTGACTCCTTATTAGCGAGACAGAATATTCACGAAATGTGTTTGCCGTATATAATCTTTAGGAATACTTTTATAAGCGAGAATGAAATTTTCACGAGCACACTGTCTCACGTAATTACGCAAAAATAAAGTTCTTGTGAATAAAAAGTGTTTTACAGTAGTGTAGATTCAAGATTATTCAAATTATGACCCTCAGGGGTAGGGTGGGGCCATATTAGAAAATAAAACTTATAGGAAAAAAAATCTAAATGGGGGACAGATTAGAACAGTTGTTACTGAATATTAGACTAATTATTTCGATGATCATGATCATCCTATTTTTCTTGCTTTTGGGCAACAAATTAAGGTTCTTCTATCAGTTTATTTTATACTCTATGGATCCTCTATGGATTGTTGTTTTATACTCACGTGACCGTTAAGGCCCTTGGGCCTCTTGTTATATGATACATCATGGATATCATTTAATTTCGATGACGAATACCAAGAGTGCAGACTGCAATGAACTTACAAACTAGAAAATCAGGCTTTCTTGCATTTTGTGGGGCCAGCCAAATGGCGCAGTGCACGTTTTACACTAATACAGTGGCTATACAAGCTATAATTTGGGTCCATTAAAAATGAATTTGTAATTTTTTTTATTTGTTTACCGAATAAAATTATGAAAATGTTGTAAATCACACTTGAAATAGAACATGTGATTTAGATGGCAAATCATAATTATTGATTTTCGTTTGTGTCGGCATCCCGATTAAAGTTTTAGGAGCAAGTCCATTCCCTAGTAACTATAAGCTGTACCTGGACCCAACTTACATGGATGATGCATCTAGGGATGGACAATACTAGACTTGCTTCAGATACTGGATCTGACCTAAATTTTTCTAGATGAGTGACCAGGTTAAAGTTTTTGGAGCAAGTCAATGCATTTCCAATTAACTAAGCCCTACCTGGACCAAAGTTGCATGGAGGATGCACCTAGGGATGGACACTACCAGACTTGCTTTGGATGCTGGATCTAACCTTTATTTTCCAGATGAGTAATTATTAGCCTTACCAGAACCAAACTAGCATGGAATGATGTATCTAAAGATGGACACAAGAAGACTTGCTTTTGATGCTGAATCTGACCTACATTTTTAGCTCACCTGAGCTGAAAGCTCAAGTGAGCTTTTCTGATCACATTTTGTCCGTAGTCCGTCTGTCCGTCTGTCCGTCCGTCCGTCCGTCTGTAAACTTTTCACATTTTCGACTTCTTCTCCAGAACCACTGGGCCATTTTCAACCAAACTTGCCACAAAGCATCCTTGGAAGAAGGGGGTTCAAGTTTGTTCAAATGAAGGGCCATGCCCTCTTCCAAGGGGAGATAATTAAAAATAAGTGAAAATTTGGTGTCTTTTTTTTAAAAATCTTCTTCTTAAGAACCATTGGGCCAGAGAAGTTGAAACTTATGGGAAACCTTCATTACATAGTGTAGATTCAAGTTTGTTCAAATCATGACCCCCGGGGGTCGGGTGGGGCCACAATGGGGGATCAAAGTTTTACATAGGAATATATAGGAAAATTCTTTAAAAATCTTCTTCTCAAGAACAACAAAGCCACAATTAGTCATATTGATATGAAATCATCCTCAGGTAGTGTAGATTTAAGTTTGTTCAAATCATGACCCCCGGGGGTAGGGTGGGGCCACAATAGGGGATCAAAGTTTTACATAGGAATATATAGGAAAATTCTTTAAAAATCTTTTTCTCAAGAACAACAAAGCCACAATTAGTCATTTTGATATGGAATCATCCTCAGGTAATGTAGATTCAAGTTTGTTCAAATCATGACCCCCGGGGGTAGGGTGGGGCCACGATAGGGAATCAAAGTTTTACATAGGAATATATAGGAAAATTCTTTAAAAATCTTTTTCTCAAGAACAACAAAGCCACAATTAGTCATTTTGATATGGAATCATCCTCAGGTAATGTAGATTCAAGTTTGTTCAAATCATGACCCCCGGGGGTACGGTGGAGCCACGATGGGGGATCAAAGTTTTACATAGGAATATATAGGAAAATTCTTTAAAAATTTTCTTCTCAAGAACAACAAAGCCACAATTAGTCATATTGATATGGAATCATCCTTAGGTAGTGTAGATTCAAATTTGTCGAAATCAAGACCCCTGGGGGTAGGGTGGGTCCACAATGGGGGATCAAAGTTTTACATAGGAATAAATAGGAAAAATCTTTTAAAATCTTTTCAAGAACAGGAAAGCCGTGATTAGTCATTTTGATATTGAAGCATCCCCAAGTATTGTAGATTCAAGTTTGTTCAAGGCATCCTCCAGTAGTAGGGTGGGGCCATAATCGGGGATCAAAGTTTAACAAAAGAATATATATAAGAAATATCTTAAAAAATCTTCTTCTCAAGAACAACAAAGCCATAATTAGTCATATTGATATGGAAGCATCCTTAGGTAGTGTATATTCAAGTTTGTTCAAATCTTGAACCCCCCTCCCTTCCTTCCCCCCAGGGTAGGATGGCAGACATCTTTAAAATTCCGTTTCAAGAACAGCAAAACCATGATTAGTTATATGAATATAGAAGCATCCTCAGAAAGTTTAGATTCAATTTCATTCAAAACATGGCAAATGGGGATAGGTTATGCCTAGAACAGTTGATCAAAGCTTTACGTATGAATATATAGAAGAAGAAATCTGCTGACAAAGAACAGCAGGGCCATATTGACTCAGGTGAGCGTCGTGGCCCATGGGCCTCTTGTTCAGATATGTGACCAGAGTAATGTCTTTGGAGTAGCTCTATCACTATATGACATGTTATGACTAAACTTGCCTGGATGATGAAACTAGGGATGGACACTACCAGACATGCTATGGATGCTGGAACTGACCTACATTTTCTTTATGAGTAAACAGTTTAAGTTTAAAGTTTTTGGAGCAGGTCTATTCCCATGCAACTATAAGTCCTACTTTAACCAAACTTGCATTGATAATTGATCTCACACAATATTGGTACAAGATTTACCTTACTTATAGATACACATGTACCATTCATTGAGCTTTGTAATCTTTGATTACCTATGTTTATATGTTGATAAAAAAAACTCAATAAACAGTTAACTTTTTTGTAAAAAGTATCACTAGTCAACCAAGAAACTTGTTTTCCCTTAGATCGAACACAAGTTTTGGTGGTCATTTAATTACAGGCAAAGAATTGATTAAAATTTTAAAAAAATCTTCTAATATTTGGTCGATAAAATATTTCAGGAGGGATCATTTCAATGACAAAACAAAAGGTTAACAATGGTTTTCAAAAGGGTGTCAATTTCATTTGTTATCCTCCAAAACAGGCACCATTTATATAGTATGTTATGAATTAAAGCTTATGTATTCCCTGATCACATCTGTTTTCAGAGAAGAGGATTGTCACCTTCATCAGAAGCAGATTTTTACTGCCAGGCTGGCTTTGACCAAAAAGGTTTTGGGATCAAATTTATATCAGACTATAAAAGTAAGTTTATATTATTAATTTACTCTCAACATCTGTGGTTTTGTTTTGTAAAGTGGATGGATGTAGAAAGAATAATATTGCTTGAATTTCATATTTTTTCATTACATGATTATAATTTTATATGCTCTTAATTTATAGTTTTGTGCAAAAAAGTTAAAATCCAGATTGATCTGTATTTAAATTTAAGTTTGTATATTTTTTCCAAAAAATATTTTTTGTATAATTTTTAACATAAATGATGTTTAAACAAATTGGAAATACTGGGACTGATTCTAGAGTAATCCCCTAGTTACAATATGATGTCACACAAAGACACATTTAACAGAAGACTTATACCTGGAAAATAAGATCTCAGAATCTGAATTGATAAATTTTTTTGTAATATTTTGTGTCTATAAGTAAGTCTTTTATTGAACCTATTTGACTAAAGTGAGCATCGTGGCCCATGGGCCTCTTGTTTGAAGACAGTTTTAATTTTTAAAAGGTGATGTTGAATCTAAATGCTTTGATGTTTTAGACATCCAAACGGCTAGCTCAGATGTGGAAGTGGAATCGGACCCTTTTAGTCGGGAATTCCATGGGAAATTCATTTGACAGTGATGATGATGATGAGATTAATTCAGGTAATATATATAAATATAATTATACAAGTTGCACTACCCAGTCTGCTGTTAAGCTAATTTCATGATAATGTCATAAAGAGGGATTTAATATTTATCATGTTTATTCACATGTTTTTGGACACAAACTATTTTTTTTATGTAATGCCACCATCAGTATCAATACTTCATAAAGATAGGCTTCACCCAGTCTGACTATTAAGCTAGATTTATAATAAGGTTATGAACAAGGATATATTTTCATCAAGGAGCAGTGGTCTAGCTTCCACTTGTTGCAGTGTCTCCTAAATTGTGCACATCATTGAAGAACCATTTATAAAATTTTCAAATCAATCAGCCAGAACATTGTTATAGCAAACATGCTTAAAATGAATTTATATGCTTACATTGAAGTGATTTCCTTCCCCATAGATTTAAAAGTGTTGTAAATGGAAAGTTTATGTTTATAAAGAATTAAATATTTTGGTCCCCGGCTCTTTGCTATTGTAAGCATGTTTTACTGTATTATTCCCTGTTGTTTGATTAATTAATTTATCTTTATTTTGTGTGATGCCATTTTAACCATATCTACTAGTGTTGTCAATGAGTACCTGGTTAACGGGTTAATCGGCGAACAATGCGAGTATCAGATAGTAAAACTGCTACTCAGTTACTCGGATATATAGACAAAAGTAGAAAAGAAATGTTATTTTGTTCAGAAATGAATGTACACCTCTACCGTTTTATTTACCGTTATTTAACGTTAGACTTGATCTAGCGTTTCACAAACATGACCAATTTGTTTTGATAACACTTAGTTTTCACAGTTTATCTAATTGATGGCTTTGATTGCCAAGCGGTATACAATGTAGAAAACCTGGGTTAATTATAATTAACTCACTTATACTGTGCTAGTCCGCAGTACAGGATTAATTTTAAACAAGATGCCTCCACAGCCATCAAAAGCATAGATTCCGAAATGTTTTAAAAGAATTTAAATCTGAAAAGTGTAAAATATGTAAAATGAAATTAACATACACAGAAACGAAACTAAAGTAACATTATATTTAGGACATCCGCAAAAATTGCCAACTATTACAGGATATTCAAGAACAAATTCATTTAGAAGCTGTATTTTGTCTTTTTGTAATTAAAAATAAATAAATGAAATGCATCTACAGTGCATTTGCATTTGATATTGGCCAGTATGTAAATGTTAAACATGGAAATTGTAATGACGTTACATATATTATCTAAAAAAAATCCATCCGTGTAACCGTTTACTTGATTGGAAAAGTTACTAAAAATTGTCCGATTTGACAACACTAGTATCAACACATAATTATAAGATTGGATGCTGCTCGGTTCAGATGGCCAGAGTCATTTTTATCACATAATTGAAGACATATTACTGGCATTTTGTTTTTCTCACATTACTTGAATTCTTGGTTGTCTACAACAAAAATATTTAAATTGATATTTGTAACAGAGATTTAATTTGCAAATTTAAAAATAATGTTACAGTAGTTAAGAACTGGAATTAATATAAAAGTAAGAAGAACTGGTATACATAGCTAACACAATAAAGCATCGGCAAAGTATTGAAATTATGAAGAATAAGAATCAGAGTGAAATGTATTGAGCATGGATATGAAAAGAAGTGACATACTGTTATGAATGAGATTGAGTGGCCTTTTGCTTTTACTTAAGGATTTTCCAAAACACTGATTGATTTGTATTTGAGAATAAATTGTAGTATTCTTATGAGATGCAAATCCAATTTAAAAGCTTCATCAAATTAAAGACAGACTGAATTGTATGTCAAAAGAATGTGAAATGGCATTTCATTTTGAAATAAAAACAGGATTTCAACTCAGAAAAACCAGTGGGGTACAAAGTAAACAAACTGGAGTGACATACCTAGTTTCTCTCTAATGGTCTAATACATGTATGTTTAATTTGGGATGATTATTTTGATTCCTTCATTCCATAGCAACATTGATGTGAAGCCAGCAATTTTTTTCATGCCACGTACAGTATCTAATAATCTCTTTATTAGTCACATACCTCAGTATTTGTGTCAACGTTTTGAGTTTCTATCTTTAACTTTAAAATTTATCATGCAGATGTAGTGAATTTCCGTGTCAGAGGACAGTAATTGCACATGTAATGATTTTCCTTCCCAGAGTATATTATTTACACACACATGTACAGTCTTCACCAAATCTTTTTTTCAGGACATGTCCTTCGGGCAGGTTTAACCACTTATTACGCTAGCCCGAACAAATATTTACATGCCCAGAATTTTATCAAGTAATTTTATTCTTATCTGCCTTTTCATGCCAAGGAAATGATCTGAAATCCATTTCTATAGATCTATTGTCTCGCCATTAATATTGTTTTCAACCTGTATACTTTTTGTGTCTCCTTTGCAAAAGAGTTTCTTGGAAGTCACGTATTGTTTTCAATGCGTATACTTTTTGTGTCTCCTTTGCAAAAGAGTTCTTTGGAAATTGCGGTAGAATAAACTATCGTTAATATTTTATTTGGTGCTCCACTTTAGATGAAAAATCAGACTTTTAAGTACATTTAATGTTATTGGTATTATTTAAGTTGATAATACGGAGGCTTAGGCCTCAGAATTTACATGCCCTTCGGGCTTGTAAGTATGCAATTTCCACATGCCCGCTTCCAATTTTACCAGGTCCCAGGCTTCGGACTCCTGGAATTTGTCGAAGACTGCACGTAGTGAGTTTCCTTGCCAGAGTACATTATTTACACATATGTAGTGAGTTTCCTTGCCAGAGTATATTATTTACACACATGTAGTGAGTTTCCTTGTCTGTTTAAAATGATCACACACATGTAGTGAGTTTCCTTGCCAGAGTACATTATTTACACAGATGTAGTGAATTTCCTTGCCAAAGTACATTATTTGCACACATGTAGTGAGTTTCCTTGCCAGGGTAAATTATTTACACTCATGTAGTGAGTTTCCTTGCCAGAGTACATTATTTACACATATGTAGTGAGTTTCCTTGCCAGAGTATATTATTTACACACACGTAGTGAGTTTCCTTGTCTGTTTAAAATTATCACACACATGTAGTGAGTTTCCTTGCCAGAGTACAATATTTGCACACATGTAGTTAGTTTCCTTGCCAGAGTACATTATTTACACACATGTAGTGAGTTTCCATGCCAGAGTACATTATTAACACACATGTAGTGAGTTTCCTTGCCAGAGTATATTATTTACACACATGTAGTGAGTTTCCTTGCCAGAGTGCATTATTTACCGAAATGTAGTGAGTTTCCCTGTCTGTATACATTTATCACACAGATGTTGTGAGTTTCCTTGCATTGGTTTATTTTCATTTTCGATCAATGTTTGGAATCAGCTTCTGTTTCAATGTTATCGATTATAATCAGACACCAGATTTCTACTTTACAAAGCATAATTTTGAAATTTTAAATTCAAAAGTAATGAGAATCTTTTATCAAGTATATTTTTAGAATCTACACACCTAGCTTAATTAAAAATCAAAACAAAAAATGGGGGTTAATGTGCTTCTCTTTGCGCTATTGAGCATTTAGTTTGACTTTTTTGCACTGTAAATACGTCTTACACATAAATCAATTTTTAAAGTTTTTCCTCCAATATTTTTTTCAAATAAATTATGGGAACAAACGCAGTCTTATTTCACCTTGAATAGGTGTATTAAAATTTGTGACAACAAAAAATTTTCAAATTACTTCGCAAGTTCAATTATTTGACCTTTTTGCACTCAGAAAATATTTTTCTGGCATTAAAAAATTTAACAAGCAATAATAATGACATTTTACTGAATTTAAGAAGAATGGTTAAAAGTATTTTATATATTCAGAAAAGAAAATTAAAAGTGGGGGTCTGTGATGTTAATTTTTAGATATTACCAAAATAGTGCTAATTTTAAGCTAATTTTAAATTATGGCTATTTTTTCTGGATTTTCACAATATATTTGCTATACTTACCAAATATAATGATAGAATTCATGATATTTTATTTGATATATAATTTAGGACCAGCATAAAACAATTTATGGCTCAGAATAACTCTGTGTGTAGGCTGCATGGAAAAATAGGAATCCAAACTTAACATACTTTAAATACTTTGATTGAGAAAGAAATGATCATTTTCTTCTAAAAAACCTTCCACCACAAAATATACTGTACGTGTACATAAATTGGCGTATTCAAAATTTAGCGAAATCACTGGGTTTTGAGGTGTTGGCGACATTATGAATTAGCGCTATAAATGTCTGTACCGTATATTGTATTTATAAATGATTTCTTAGTGGTATTCATGAATTAGTGCATTGTTGTCTGCGCCTAGGGCCCCCTAAAATATGAAGCCTGATTTTTAAAGTACACATACAGTAGTTCCTCACTTAATGCTTTTGGTATGGAGTTTTAACTGAATATATTTTAATTGGTATTGTAGAATCCAAATTTATTGTAAGAACTAAAACACTATGCAAAAGTGGAAATACAGGTTAAGACAAAAATCTGCTCAAAAGCTCAGGAGCATTTTACTTCTTCTGGAGAACCACTTGGCAATTTTAATTTGTTTAAATGAAAGGTGACCAACTTTTCAAGGAGAAATAGCTATGAAACAGTGAAAATTTGATTCATATAAAAATCTCCTTCTTATAAACCATTGAAACTTATGTGGAAGTGTCCTGACGTGGTATAGATTCAAGTTTGCATGTTCAAATCTGACTTAATGGGGTAGGTGGAACCAGTATGGAATCAGTATTTTTTTTTTACATCAACATATAAAAAAATGTCATAATAAGATGCAGTCATAACATGGTAGTTTGTTCAATTTTCTTTTTGTAATTAAAAATAAATAAATGAAGTGCATCTACAGTGGGGTAGGATAGGGCTACAATGATGGATTGAAGTTTTTCATTGGAATGTATGTCACAACAGGACATTGATTAGTGATATTAATGTCCTAGCTGTTATCCTCAGAAAGTGCTGTACAATTTTTTCCCAAATCATGGTTCCTAGAGGTACCCGTAGAGTGGCACAACAATAGTGGATTAAAGTTTTTTGTGGGAATATAAAGGAAAAAAATGTTTAAAATAAAAAAGAAATGGAACTTTTTTTTAAATACAATGTATTTTGTGATAAAGAACAAACAGCAGCATTTTTTTTCTTCCATAACTGGTACCATTGAACAGAGCCATTCCACCAAAAATGTTAATTATTCCTAGTTTGAGAGCATTGATATTTTTCATCAAATTTTGAATTCATCTATTTTTATGAGGAAAAAATTGTAAAATGCAAAGTTCAAAATCTTTGGGATTGGTATTTTGACTACTTAATTTGTATGGACATTCATTAAATAGTGCACTGTGCACAAATTTGGTTGAGAATGCACATTTAGTTAAGTATTTTAGTATATCCCTATTTGTTCAACCTATATATATACTGTCCTGTCTGTCCACTTTATTTTGCAAGTCATCTAAATATTTAAGTGGTAGCCAAAGAAATTCATTTTCAGGTGATTGATTAGTTTTTGTAGATGTGTATGAATTTTGATCTCTCCCCTGAAGCTAAGCTGAAGTGAAGTGATAATTCTGTTGAACATGAATTGTTAGATATCAAATGAATTCCAAACTTTAAGACTTCGTTTCAATACGAAGGGATATGTTAAGATTAGAGCATTGATTGGTGTATACAATTAAAAGAATGTCTTTGTGCTTGCATGATGAACTGGGTTGAAAAATTTTGAAAATATTAAATGTTTCCCTTAGCTTGTTGTGATCCTCCTGGACATCCAAGTGTTTTCGACATTGATGAAGATTTTATCACTCTCTCTCTCTTGGACCAAACCAAGAAATGAATCAGATGGTTTTAAGAAGATTATAGGATATGTCATAGAATACGAAGACCCCACCACTGGAGGCAGGCTAATGACTACCCAGTAGATGAGTGTGTTTATGAGGGGGAGTAACTGATTACTTGTTGACACATGTATCTTTCTTATAAACTAGTAAGTGGATTTACATGTCCTTTTGTTGCATGTAATTAGTATGTTATGGCTGAAAACTGTGAAAAGATGTTTTACAAAAGTGATTCTTGAAATTTGTTTTGTTTACAAAACTTGAATTTGAGAATTTTTTCATCAGTGTAGGGATTAAAAAAGGACAAGGAATACAACTTCCACATACGGGCCAAGAATCTTGAAGGTTTTAGTGAGTCTAGTGATGTGATTGGTCCCATAACTCCCAAGCCCAAATACAGTAAGTATATTTGAAAAAAATTATAACATTTTAAAAAACAATTACCATATTGTACTTCAATTTCAATTATTTTTTCTTTCACATTTTTAAACTTTTATTTTAGCCAAGGTTTTGCCACCTGGTGTACCAGAGGCTGTCAACAATTCTATAACTTATCTGAAATGGGAACCACCTAAACATAATGGTGGCTGTAAAATTACAGGTACTAATTTAAAAGTAGAATAAAAAAGGGAAATGTTGATCTCTGTTCAAAACCACATAAACACTGTAGCAGTTGATAATATTGATTATCTTTGTAGACTACCTTGTGGAAGAGAGGTTTAAGGGAGCAGAGATGTGGTGTAAGTGTAATGAGTACCCCTGCACTGACCCCTCTTTACTGTCACCGATCTTCCTTAGGACTCAGAGTGGGAGTTTAGAGTTACAGCTGTTAACTTTGCTGGAAACTGTGAGCCCAGTCTGTGCTCACCAGCATACAAAATCCAGGAGAAGATTGGTATGTTGTCAAGTTAATAAATGTATCGTACATTATTATGGTACTAGAAAAAAGATTTAGAGGTCAAATTAAACCATATTGTGTATTTCCTTCTCAAAGCCCATAATATTCTCACTTTACTGGTCAGGAGCTGAAATTTATGTGAAAGCTTCCTGATGTAATAAAGATTTTAAATTGTTCAAAAAATGGCCTTTGAGGTAGATGGGGCCACAATAGGGGATCAAAGATTTACCTCGAAATATATACATACATTTATGTACTGGTTAAAATCTTTACGAATCCTCTTAAGAAGAACTGGACCACAAAAAGTATTTTTAAACCTTCTTGTAGCTTCCTTATTGTTCAAATCATGGCCAAAGGGAGGGGGGGGGGGTTCAGAGACCCTTTAGAGTTAGGATAGGGTCATAATATGAGTTCACAATTTTGCATGGGAAAATTAAGGAGAAAAACTCTTTATAAACATTAAGAAAAGCTTCTTTTAAGTTACATGGGAAATGTTGTAGCCCATGGGACTCTTCTTTGCATGCATAGTAAAGGCAAAAAAAAAATAGATAACCCCTATTGTATTCATAAATTTGAATCTTACTTTTTAAGAAAAGTGTTATTTTCCAATTTAATATCTAATTTGAATGTTTTGACAGAGTCTTTTGCAATTGAGCAGGATGAGGAATCGCACCAATCATTTGTAAATGAATGCAGCAGTCATGATGTTGTCAATGAGAATGGTAATCTATATTTATGATGTTGTTAGGATGTTACAAATTAAAAGTTAACCCCATAAAAATGAACAGTCTTAAAATGATAATTTCTTTTTTAGAATTTTGAATAGGATATGATACAGGGCCACTTTTAAGTGATGAAGCAGACGAGTATGATGATGGTAATGATGATGAATCATACCATCCTTCAAGCGATGAAAAAAGCTGTGATGAAGATACCATTAATGATCTTGGTAATAAAGCTGAAAACAGAACTTTCTTAAGCTCAAGTAAGCTTTTCTGATCAAAGTTTGTCCATTGTCCATCTCCAGCGTCATTGTTGTTTCAAATTTTCAGCTCCTTCTCAAGAACCACTGCGTCAATTTCAACCAAACTTGCCACAAAGTATTCTTGGGTGGGGGATTCAAGTTTGTTCACATGAAAGGCATCACCCTATTTTAAGGGGATATAATCAAAAATAAGTGTAAATTTGATGGCATCTTTAAAAAAATCTTCTCCAGAAACAATGGGCAGAGTTGTTTACTTGTACAGATTTTTAGTATTTCCCATGAATCTTTGAGTAAAAATGTGCTCTACAGATTCACGTTGAAAATATACAAATTTTCCCTAAAGACGGAAAAAAATCAGGGTCGTTCCTGAAATTTGCCAATCAGTTTGATAAAGAAGCTTGTTGATTGAAGTGGTCTTATCAAAAATAATCTAAAAACAATATAATTAAGGCAAATGTAAAATATGTAAGCAACAGTAGACAGCATACGGTGACATGCGTAGTTAGTGCTTAGTATTTGTATAACAAGGGGTTCTTCATATAAAAATGTCTAATAAGCTGAGTTGCATTTTTACTGACAAACTGCTCAAAATACTGACAACTTCTAGAATACTGACATCAGTTAGAAAAGTTAAACAGGTCTGAGTGGGTCAGAAAAATTATTCTCCAGAACAGCAAAGCCATGACAAGTCATATTAATACAGAAGCATACTCAGGTAATGTAGCTTGAAGTTTTATCAAGTAATGTCCCCTGGCAGAAGGGTGGGGACACAATGGGGCATAAGACTTTTACATGGAATTATATAGAAAATGTCTTTAAAGGCCTTCTCAAGAACAACAAAGCCATGATTTGTTATATTAATACAGGAGTATTTTTCAGGTAGTGTACATTCAAATTTATTCAAATCATAACATCAAGGGGTAGGATGGGAGAAGTAGTTTCAGGTTTGTTCAAATCATCACCCACAGGGCATAGGGTGGCACCAATTGTATAATTACTCAAACTTTTCAATACTGAACTGATTTCTGCTTTTCTCTTGCAAAAGGGCTCAGGTGTCATGGACCATGGGCCTCTTGTATAAGGTGTTATGTATTACATTGTACAATATGTAGATTGTTTAAAGTGAATTAAAATTCTGGCAGAATTTCTGTCTTGAATTTTAAGTATGACTGTTTCTTTATTACAGTTAAGGATTAATTCCATAAGTTGTTTTTTCTCCAGACATGATCACAGTCTGATAAATTGACAAAATTCATTTTAAATAAATTACTTTCCTTTGCATCACATTAACATGATGTTCATTAGCCAGCATTATAAATTATAAATATCTCCATAAGGAGCTTAAATAGAGTGTTTCAATCATGCCTAACAGATTGAAGTATGGAAAAACAACTTTCATACCTCTTCATTAGGTTTGAATGGGTAAGATGAGGCCATAATAGGCAATAAAAGCTTTACATAGGAATATATAGGGGGGAAATGTGCAGGGCCATTGTGACATGGGTGAGCCATGTGGCCCATTGGCCTCTTCTATAAAAATAAAGATGAATCCCTTTTGTCAATACATGTACATATATAATAATTTCAGATATGCCCAGTAAGCCTCTCAAATCTGAAATGCAGCAGAAACAAGCTGCACTTGCAAGTGACAGCAAACAGGACAGTGAATGTGAAGATGATCATGATGATATCGGCAAAGTTTTACCACAGTCAGAGAAGCGAAAGACCAGTTTTTAGAGGCCAAAAACATCGTCTGGGAACTATGATACTAAAAAACATTCATGTCTCTTTTGTGAGAAGTTTTGCCAGCAGGCCAATTGATGGTATGCATATCATATAAGCCCATAGCTCTTTAAGTACAAAAAATTGTGAGATTCATTTTTGCATATAGGTTCAGGATGGAGCTGAATATTGAAAAAATATATCCTATAAATTTTTTTTCATGGACATGTAGCAGACAGCTGTTTGCATAATTTAAGCAAGTAATTATTGTTTAACCAAAATTTGTGAAATTTATCGCTCATGACCCATTGTTCATGCAAGGTTTACCTATTTATATTGACACTGCAACAGGCCCATAGAACCCCCCCCCCCCCACTTTTTCTGAGTATAGTATTTTGCTGTAGTAAAGTATCCTTTATATCCTGGTTGCCCCCCCCCCCCTTTTTGTTGCAATAAGGTCGGTTCAGTAAATAATGTTTTTTTTTTGCTTGTCAGATATTTTTTGAAGTCCCCCCTACTTTTGAAACCCTTGCTATGGGCTGTAAATTGAAGTTTTAAAAAATCCTTCACTGGTGAACATCTAGCAGGCAAACTAGCAGGCATAAAATTAAATATGAAGATTATGAATAGTAATTAAACTCAGAAGTCCATTAGAATAATCCATATTCATAGCAGAGCAAACATGGACCTCTAAAATTAATCTTAATTAATGCTTAGCCCTCTAATTGAAGGCTCCTTCATGTTTCAGGCCCATGAAAAGGCAGAGTTAGTCATAAATTAGAATGTTTTATACAGTATTAGCCAGTATACCTTATCCTCTTTACTTCTGAACTTCTAGGAGTTCAGCTGCATCAATATGATAATAAATATAGAATTCTTGTGAAAATTTACGATTTTTGTTACATGGGTCTAGATTTCTAGATCGAGGCGGTTTTGAAATGACCACAGCCTGAGAAATTCATAATACTCAGGTAATAGTCAAAGGCTAGGGCCTTTTGTTGCATTTTAAACACAGGAAGTTATTAACTGCATGATATTTATATTTCTTGCTTGGTTGTCAGCTTTAAGCTTAGAGAGTTTTTTTTTTTTATTTCGAAACTTGTATGTTGTTTAATGCACTAAGAAAATGCCACTATATTTTGCACAAATACTGACTGATTGTCCTTGATTGTTCTTCTGTGAAAATAAGCTTATTTTGGATACCTTAAAAATTAACAGCAAGAATTATCTATTAACACTTGGCTTATACATGTGTATCTTATTTCATGTCAGCATTCTTTTCATGTATTTTTTTTTTTTGTATAGTTGATGCAATTAAATTGTTTCATGCAAACAAACCGTCTTTTTTGTTTGATCTTTCAAAATGTTGTAAAACATTTGAGCAAAGGGATAAGAGAACTAAAGGGTGCTGTATGAACTGCATTTCGTAAAAAATCATGGTTTTAGAGACCAACATATTTGAGCAATGGGATTTTTAAATGCTGAATTGGAAAATGAAATGATGAATATGAAATGATAGAATGTTATGCATAAGAAAAACAATGAAGTGGACTTTCCCCACCAAAGTAATTTCAGTTTTTTGAAGTCATTAAATTGCAAGAATAAATAAGAGGGATCATTATTTTTCCCCTTATTTCAGGTCCGTAGAACGCGGAGGCCACCCCCCCCCCCCTTTTTTCTGAATATACTATATTGCTATTGTAAATTTTCCTTTGAATGCTGGTTGTGGTGTCATCCACATAAAAAAGAACGAGATGTTATTACATGAACAGTAGTTAAGTAATTTGTAATCCTATAAAATTCTTGTTAAGAAAAAAATAAACTCTTTAAGATCATAAAAAACATAATGATTGCATTTAAAATTGGGGAACGATTTTCAATTTCTACTTGTCTTACTCAATGCAACAGAAAAAAAACCCAAAACGAATATTCTTGACGAAACAAGTCTTGAATCAACGCACACTCGGCAATTCATTGCCGTCAGCGACGTAAGAGCAGAGGGGAGGGGTAGCTTGGCCCCTCCTTTTTTCAAACTTAAAAGTTTTATTTTTAATTTATTGTGAAAGTGTTCATTAAAAGCCCCCCCCCCCCCCCTACACACACTTTTGTTATGTATTTAAATGCGGTCTGTTATTGTAAAGAAATTTTTTGGAGGATTCACAAAAGTTCAACCCACCAATAGGATTTTCGACTTTTTGAAGTTAACCTATTTTTCTTGCTTGCCAAAGATTTTCGGGTATTAAGTTGTATTTTCTGCCCCCCCCCCCCCCCCCCCCCGACTTTCAAAAACGATGTTACGTGCCTGGCCGTTAATACTTTTAAATCTTTGTCATGACTGTTAATTAATTCTTCTCATTTCATTTGCTTTATATTAATCTATATACAGATGCTGAAAGCCAATTTTTTATCTTTTAACTTTGTCGGATATCCTTTGACAATTTTTTTTTCTATAGCATACAGATTTCATGCAGACATTGTCATGTATTTTCGACAATTTTTTGGAAAAATTGGTGTTTTTACGGGAAACACATTCAAAATTTACTGAATGTAGTGATTTTCTTGTATAATATCTTACAAGAGTGTTTATGTACTGAGTTTCCTGTGTGTGTCCTGGTAAAGCCATGTAGTGACTTGTCAACTTCCGGTGTGTGATTGAGCAAAATCACGTGACCAAATGTAGTGACTTTTAGGTGAAAAATCATTTTTTCATTATTTGAATTTTCATCTTTCTGAACCTCATTTGCATATACAAAGACCCATAGAATCACAGTTATGGTCTGTTTATCTTGTTAGCATTGCTAGAACATAGTGTAGTGACTTTCAGGTGTAAAACCTCGTGTAGTGAGAATTGCGGTTGTACACGTATGGGTGTGTGTGTGTGTGTGAGGGTGTGTCTGTGTGTGTGTGTGTGTATATAATTATATAACTTTTATGTGAATCGTCATTGGAATAATGGTAAATCATTGATAACACTATAAG